AATGTATTTACTTCAAGAAACAACTTGCAAGTTAACAGTGGCATATTCCAGGAAGACTATTTGTTTGTTTGTTTATTTTTGTGCCATTTATAAATTATATATTTACACAAATATCAATGTACCAGGCAAGGAAGCCCAGGGAAGCCAGTTAGGCTTATGTAAAGGACTACCTTAAAGATGCCTAAGAATAAAAATGCTGTCATCAGCAAACAAAATTGTGCTAGAATTATGAGCCCCTTTAGAGTGGTACACTATTTTGGTGATGTACCGCTTGTTATTTCAGGTTCCGTTGTTGTTGCACAAATTGTGTATCTTACACATACCTTTTCCTTGAAGGTGATGACAATCTCTGATGAAGATGGACAGCCCGCCCAGGAGGTCTTTCTGCTTGTTCTACTAAATCACCCCAGCTACTCTCCATATCAGCACAATGGTCAGCTGGAAGGATAACATGTTCAATAAAATGTAATAATTTTTAAGAAGATTACCATGTAAGACATGTTTCGATGTTACTAACATCATCGCCAGTTACAGAATATTTACCGTAAGGGCTATTGTAACAACTAGGCAAAACATGCATAATTAATTATGACTAAGTGACAAAAATAGGCTTTGTATTCTTTCAAACACTTTGCAACTCGCTCAGGTATGTAATCTATTTTTGTCACTTTCATGATAATTAATTATGCATGTTTTGCCTAGTTGTTATATAGTCCTAATGGTTTTTCAAATATTCTGTAACTTACGACAACATTAGTAACATCGAAACATGTCTTACAAATTAAAAAATGTCGTAATCTTCTTAAAAATGTAATAATTATATGTTAAACAATGTAAAAGACTAAAGTGGCTCCAAAGAAGTAACTGTATTCAAAGTACAGTAAATGTACACATACAATGAGCTGCAGAGGCATGAAAACTACTAGCAGTCAGCAGTAATAATATGTTCATTTATTAATAGCCTCTTACTAACTGAGCGAGAGGGCCGTATTGGGGAATATTGGCCCAAGGCCATGGCAGTATGGACTGAGTGCAGTGAGGTCCATACAAAAAAGACCAAGGGCCAATATTCCCCAGCATGGCTCAAGCAAGCTAGGATGGTAAGTAGTTTAGCATGTAGGCCTTAGAAAGAGTCTGCAAGGCAAAATCCCGACCATGAAAGAACCAATCAGAATCCTCAGATTTACCTCAAGACTACCTTGCCGTATAATTAACATGCACATGTACATATTTAAAGTTTAATTTTGTATTTCTTGAAATCAACTCGCTTGGTTACTTCCTGCTTTAATTAAGGTCACTGTATTGTGTATACCTTTAGAAGTTTATCAGGACAAACAAATAAACTCCCTTTGACGTCGTGAAAAATTTGACAATTCATTTTATTTCAAAATTGTTGGTATAGTTTGATATAGCCAGTTCTATAAGCTTTTTAATTAGACACATGGGTTTGGTGTCTACAGTTTAAACCGGATGCACTACATCACCTGGACATGAGACACCTCTGAAGGTATTCAGAAACCGTTAATTAATTCATCATATTTCTTCATTAACTTTTATACATGTCAAAACAGAACACTGACTAAGATGTTGTCAACCCTTCTTAAGAGATATTTATACTATAGCCCCTTACCATCATACTTTGCAATCATCTCTTCCCAAGTCAGAGTGGTTCCTGAGTTCACAAGGGAATTCTGAAAACAAGCAACAGATGAAGATACACTGTAAATTTTGAAAAAAAACTACATGTATGTGTAGGTAACTTTTTATTGCTTGCTCAGTTTTCAGGTTTTGTGATTACAATAAATTGATGGACAATTTTTGATGAGGTGTACCATCAAACTGCATTCATTAAATCCTTTCTAACCCTCTAATCCTCTTTCAAACTGTGACTTCCTCTATGGCTATCAGTACTACATACACATGATTTAAGGTATTCCTCAAACAGTACCTTTCAGTTGGTACAGTGTATACTGTATCTGTGGTCTTTGGGTCTATAAGTACTGTTTTACAAATGTGGTATTTCCAACAGGTCGGATTGAAAAGGTCAGGGTTGTCGAAAGGGGCAGTAACCCGCAACACCTGCTATGGCTGAGTATGTTTGATGGGCCCTTCATGTTATGGGTGAATTGGAATATGGTTGATACCATTCACCCAAAATGTAAGTTTGTTACAGGAGTGAAGATTAAGACTACAGTTGACTCAAAAATGTAATGACAAACCTGAGGGTTAAACTTCTTAGTAATCACACATCTAGAATAATCACCATAACAACTTACACTGTCTCCATTTGTTGTAACACTGCAATTCAAAGAGTTCTCCGCATCCTTTATATTTTCAATATCTTCCTCTTGTTCAATATCAGAGGTCTGACTCTCGCTTTCACCGTTTATTGCTGTTACTAATTCTTCTTCTTCTGCGATCTCTTTTGTCAAACGTTCCTCGTGTTCAATAACAGATGCGATTGTTTGGTTGTGCCATTCCTCTATCTGTCTTGACAAACTCTCTTCTTCCTCCATTGCCGCTGACAGTGCCTTATCATGTTCAATGTCTGATAACGTATCCTGTTCATCGTCGCCATCAAGAAAAAGAGCAGGCGTTTCTTTGTCATTATCAATTTCCAATAACTCTTGAGAAGCTTCACCTGGATTTAGGTAAGGTTCTGTACAAACTTCTTTATCATCAATATGATTTCCAACGTCACCATTACTGCATGTACCATTTGTAACCCCCTGCATTCTCAAATCATTTGATTTGGTTTCCCTTTTTCCATTCAAAAGTTTCTCAGAAGTTTTATTTGCTTTCTTTGCATGATTGCTATGCATCTTTCTTCCACGATGAACAGTTTCCCACCCTTCATCATCACCATCATCATTAACATCTTGAACAACACAGTCTTCTAAATTCCCTGACAAACGTCTTAATCCAGGAATGGCATTGTGACATTCTTGTCCTTTCAGATCAATAGTTTTTGATGGAGCACTGTTAGAATTTGTACTAGCTGTGGTCCCTCGCACTTTGTCAGCCCAAGATTGCACTGGTACTAAATTTCCTGACTGATTAAGTGACTGACTTAATGGCGGAACAGATTGTGAACTGAAGTCTAACGAGCGGACGGGACTGGTTGAGTTTCTCTCAAGTGATGTCTGTAAAGCATTGGCACTAGAAAACAGTGTCTTCCCTGGGGAAGATTTTCTCACTTCCCATGCCAGAGATGTTGGCCTGAAAAGAAAGAGAAGAAGGTATTTACAGTCTTAATGCATAATTTATCACAGCTACAGTGATGTACTTCTGAGGTCAATACACTATTGTCAGATTTTCAGTGTTGTGGGTTATGGCACAAAGCCCATTTGATCAAACATAGATACATGTAATGCTTATCTGAAATTAATTCATAGAAAAGCTACACTGACTGCAAACAAGGTCATATAAGTTAAAAGTTACCAATAACAGCCAGCTACAGTGAGATTAAACTGCATGGAATACTACAAAGTACAGTATACTACTTACCCTGGTGATGAAAACAAATACTTCACATGTATACATAACATGTAAATGACATTCATGTGTATACATGTTATCACAGGTTACGCCCAAAATACATATTTGAAATGTTTTTTAACTTAATCAACATAATTATATTTTTTTCTTAGAACCATATGAGCAGCCTTGATTTTAAATAATACCTCACAAATAAATCTAAAATTTCCAGTGTACATGTAATGTAATCATACCTGTCCTTGTAATCAGCTTTTTCAAATGCATCCTGCACATTTATTCTTTCGATCAAAGCACTGAAGTCTCGACGACACTGATCCAGCATCATAATTACCTCCTGTTTGAGAACAAGATAAAATGGTGTGAAGACAATGAATGAAGAAAAAGGAAAACAGAATTGTGATTACAGTAACTACATGTACAACTAGGAAATTGTCTGCCATTTGCATCCCAAAAAGGATACACTACACACCCACATCCACTTAATAATAACTACATGTACTTATTATCCTAGAGTGAAGTCTCTACGGGAAAATCTCAAACCAAGACATTGCCGTACTGACCAAATGATAGTGAGGTCAATATCACAAGGCTGAGGTTTGAGATTTTCCCATAAAGACCCAACCTTTGAGATTAATAAGTTGTTTATCATATGGCTTTTTGCTTTGTTCTTGCTGGCCTGTAATCAGCCTGTGGGCATTACGGGAGAATAACGACCTAGAATTAGCCAATCAGAGTGTACATTATAATGGCTATGAACACAAGCCATATAACTTAGAATTACATACATGTATGGGGCAATGTGACCAAAAGGCTACCATAAGTATTTCTTGGCTAAAGTTTTAACTGACAAAGATTCAGCCCAAAAGTGAATATTGCCAACTGCGTCAAACAAAGCCTGCCAATAAAAGATACATGAAATATCTATTGCACCATTACCTGGCATTCTATAATGCTCTTGTGAGCCTCACAAGTTTCATACATGAAATATCTTTATTGTACCATTACCTGACATTCTACAATGCTCTCGTCAGCCTCACAAGTGCCATAAATTTCATCCACAGCCCTTTTCAGGTTATCAAACAAGTAACTCCAGTAACGAGCTCTCAAGTCATTTTTCTTTCCTGAGAAAGAGCCGGACAATTTCCTGCTCCCTGAGCGAGATCTTCCGGGAGATTTAGCTCCTCCTTTCTGTGCAGGAGAAGCCTCCCTCTCAGATGAGCCGGATTTTTCTGGTGTAGAGGTACGTTTTCTATTCACCATCCTTGGTTTAGACCTCTTTCCTTTTCCTGGTTTATGGACACAAAGAGATGAGAGTACAGTTATATAATTATGTTGCTTTCTTGTAGGGTGCATGTACACAGATCTTAGCTTTACAATCACAGTCAAAATGCTTAAGACAGAATTCCCAAAAATTCGCAATTTTCTTACTAACAAATCAAAACCTACATGTATTTATTCCGCTTTTATTAATCAATACACTTAATGTAAATTTCTGACTTTTCCTGACACCTTGAGTGTACATTTACACCTGTACACTGTCTAACAAATTAGAGTTATTAAATGTTAAGTTTGTACTTTATTCAACTACTTCATGTGCTCATTGTAACATTTACTGAAATTAGTTTTCCTTGCACATTTGCTGGTAATGGGGTTTTCAAAGACTGTTTAAACACACACACAGCTCCTGACATTTTTTTTATCATTTATGGACAAAACAACATACACATATGTAGTAATTACAAATAATGTGGAACTGATATAAAAAAGCTCCCACCAAATTACAAACTTCTCTTGGACATTAATCATATTATTTTATTTAGTATTTTATACTCACTTCAAGTACTTGTAAGAATAATCCGTAGTTATTATATGGCAAGGTACATGTTTTGTAGTCTTGAGCCTGGTATTTGAATTTTTTCTTGCCATGTGGACCATTTCCATGGAAACAATCATGAATAAGCAGTGCATTTTGCCATATAACAAACTGCTTACTAACCTAGGGCTGTCATTAAGGACCATAACCCATAACACCTGTTACAGCTGAGTATGACTGTTTTTACCTGGATGCTACAGGTGAAATTGCTTGTTGTTGAAAGAATTCACCCACAATGTAACAAGTTTGCTACGGGTGTGGAGAATGAGGGTACTGGCAACTTAATGACAGCCCTGCTAACCTACATGTAGCTTGCTCAAGCCGTACTGGTAAATATTGGCTCTCAGTCGTTATTGCAAGGACCTTGCTGTGCCTTTATTTCCCGGTACAGCCCAGGTTGCACTTGGTTAGTAAGAGGTTAATATTTTAAATTCTCTCCTGTAAACTTGTTAATTATATTCACACACATTCACTGGTGTTGGTTCACAGAAAATTCTGTTTCTCATTCCTGGGAGTGGTTTCATACAAAAAATACCTGTATTGTACAGAGGTGAAATACTGTACAGTCTGTAAATTAAAAACTAGAATTAGTTCATATTTATTTACAATAATGTGCATATGTGACCAATCCATCAACCAGAGTTGAACATTACTCAGAATAAATTGAATGGGCAAAACACCAAAACTGTGACAACATGAAAAAAGAAAAGTTTTCTTTTAGCAAGAATGAGAGACAAGAAACAAATTTTTCAGACATGAAGTAGACATAGTTGCATTTTGCTTACAGTATTTCAACATTGATTTCTGCAGTGAGAACACACCAAATCTAAAATAATTTGGAAAAATGGATACTCCTGAAGAGTAAAATAAAGATTTGTACTGTATTGTGTTATAAATTGCAATAATCTCTGCAAAGATTTTAACCTTTCTTTAGGGAGCTTTTTTCATTTGGACATTTCAATAAAATTGAAGATACAACACAGTGCATGGGTTTTGCATAACACTTCATTGATTAATTTTTCATGACTGCCAACCCTTGGTTTTTGAGTTTTAAAAGCACTTGCCATTCTGCCCTCAAGAACAAATCCTGTCACTAATGCAATTGATGTATCAGATGTAAAATTCATCCAACAAAGCAAGAAACTAAGAGATTTCAACCCACCCTTTTTAATTTTAGAAAACGCAAAGTCCCCCCTGCCATGATATAGCTAATCTTACTGCTTGCTGCTGCCGGTCTATTTACAAACGTGGTGCATTTCAGGCTGACATAAAATTCATGTATACATCAGATTCTATACCCACCAGCAAATTTCTTCTATCAAATGTGTCCCTGTGTTGATTTTATGATATATTTTCTGATTTTTGTTCTCAAGATCCTGTGTTGTTGCATCCTGGCTGGCACAGTGCACAGTCCATTTCATTAAAATGAATTTTGAGTTCAAATTTAAAAGGGTGTTTCCTACAAATATTATAAATAATATGACTGAAAACACAATATGGACCACAAACAAAGGGGAATGATTATTTATAAGGAGAGGGTTTGCATATCATTAACCACAGCAAATGTGATGAAAATCAATTATTTATGGTACCTACATAAAAGCTTTTATTGTGGCCATGATTTTAAACAACTGTCCAATAAATTGCAAGGAATGCATTTGATCTATCATTCACTGACATCACAGCAGGAAAAATGGCAAAATGTTCAATTTAGAAGAAGAGTTTTTCATTTTGTTACTGCATGAGAAAAACAGAGTATGTTAATTTTGAAATCCAAATTTGCATGATATACTGTCTAGACGTTCTAGCACCCAGGAAAAGCAAAGAATTCACTGTAATGAACGGGTGTAAACTGTAATAATATACAATGTTATTTGACACAACATTAGAAAAAGTATTTCAAGGATATTCTTTGCTAAACCATCCTCAACCTTGCAAGAATATCATAATCCAAAGATTATTAACACAAAGCCAAACATACCTCTCACTAAAAACAAGATCTCTGATTGAACTCTCCATGGTAAAAATCACTTATTCTGATATTTTTTGTGTACATGGTACATTACGCTTCATATTACTAGTAATTATGTACATGTACTGTGGGTATATGCCCAAGGAAAGAAATTTAATAATTATTACTAGGCTCAAGTATAATAATGAAGCCATAACAGACAAAAAAAAAAAATAACAATACATGTCTAGTCATGTATGCAATTTGATGGCTTGTTTATTAGTAGTGATTTTAGTATGACCATGAGAATTTGACACCCTGGGGTCACCCAGACCCTATTTTAATTGCAACTTGCAATAATTTTAATTAATTTATCAAAGACTTGATCNTTTAATATATTTTTTAATTTGTGTATTTATTTTTTAATAATTTAATGTTATTTTGGATCGGGACCTTTCTGTAGATCACCTACGGGTGAGAAAGCTTCCTGTTAAAATATCATTATTAAACTTAATCATAATTAATTATGCATGTTTTGCCTAGTTGTTATATAGTCCTAATGGTTTTTCAAATATTCTGTAACTGACGACGACATTAGTAACATCGAAACATGTCTTATAAATTAAAAAATGTCGTAATCTTCTTAAAAATGTAATAACTATATGTTAAACAATGTGAAAGACTAAAGTGGCTCCAAAGAAGTAACTGTATTCAAAGTGCAGTAAATGTACACATACAATGAGCTGCAGAGGCATGAAAACTACTAGCAGCCAGCAGTAATAATATGTTCATTTATTAATAGCCTCTTACTAACTGAGCGAGAGGGCTGTATTGGGGAATATTGGCCCAAGGCCATGGCAGTATGGACTGAGTGCAGTGAGGTCCATACAAAAAAGACCAAGGGCCAATATTCCCCAGCATGGCTCAAGCAAGCTAGGATGGTAAGTAGTTTAGCATGTAGGCCTTAGAAAGAGTCTGCAAGGCAAAATCCCGACCATGAAAGAACCAATCAGAATCCTCAGATTTACCTCAAGACTACCTTGCCGTATAATTAACATGCACATGTACATATTTAAAGTTTAATTTTGTATTTCTTGAAATCAACTCGCTTGGTTACTTCCTGCTTTAATTAAGGTCACTGTATTGTGTATACCTTTAGAAGTTTATCAGGACAAACAAATAAACTCCCTTTGACGTCGTGAAAAATTTGACAATTCATTTTATTTCAAAATTGTTGGTATAGTTTGATATAGCCAGTTCTATAAGCTTTTTAATTAGACACATGGGTTTGGTGTCTACAGTTTAAACCGGATGCACTACATCACCTGGACATGAGACACCTCTGAAGGTATTCAGAAACCGTTAATTAATTCATCATATTTCTTCATTAACTTTTATACATGTCAAAACAGAACACTGACTAAGATGTTGTCAACCCTTCTTAAGAGATATTTATACTATAGCCCCTTACCATCATACTTTGCAATCATCTCTTCCCAAGTCAGAGTGGTTCCTGAGTTCACAAGGGAATTCTGAAAACAAGCAACAGATGAAGATACACTGTAAATTTTGAAAAAAAACTACATGTATGTGTAGGTAACTTTTTATTGCTTGCTCAGTTTTCAGGTTTTGTGATTACAATAAATTGATGGACAATTTTTGATGAGGTGTACCATCAAACTGCATTCATTAAATCCTTTCTAACCCTCTAATCCTCTTTCAAACTGTGACTTCCTCTATGGCTATCAGTACTACATACACATGATTTAAGGTATTCCTCAAACAGTACCTTTCAGTTGGTACAGTGTATACTGTATCTGTGGTCTTTGGGTCTATAAGTACTGTTTTACAAATGTGGTATTTCCAACAGGTCGGATTGAAAAGGTCAGGGTTGTCGAAAGGGGCAGTAACCCGCAACACCTGCTATGGCTGAGTATGTTTGATGGGCCCTTCATGTTATGGGTGAATTGGAATATGGTTGATACCATTCACCCAAAATGTAAGTTTGTTACAGGAGTGAAGATTAAGACTACAGTTGACTCAAAAATGTAATGACAAACCTGAGGGTTAAACTTCTTAGTAATCACACATCTAGAATAATCACCATAACAACTTACACTGTCTCCATTTGTTGTAACACTGCAATTCAAAGAGTTCTCCGCATCCTTTATATTTTCAATATCTTCCTCTTGTTCAATATCAGAGGTCTGACTCTCGCTTTCACCGTTTATTGCTGTTACTAATTCTTCTTCTTCTGCGATCTCTTTTGTCAAACGTTCCTCGTGTTCAATAACAGATGCGATTGTTTGGTTGTGCCATTCCTCTATCTGTCTTGACAAACTCTCTTCTTCCTCCATTGCCGCTGACAGTGCCTTATCATGTTCAATGTCTGATAACGTATCCTGTTCATCGTCGCCATCAAGAAAAAGAGCAGGCGTTTCTTTGTCATTATCAATTTCCAATAACTCTTGAGAAGCTTCACCTGGATTTAGGTAAGGTTCTGTACAAACTTCTTTATCATCAATATGATTTCCAACGTCACCATTACTGCATGTACCATTTGTAACCCCCTGCATTCTCAAATCATTTGATTTGGTTTCCCTTTTTCCATTCAAAAGTTTCTCAGAAGTTTTATTTGCTTTCTTTGCATGATTGCTATGCATCTTTCTTCCACGATGAACAGTTTCCCACCCTTCATCATCACCATCATCATTAACATCTTGAACAACACAGTCTTCTAAATTCCCTGACAAACGTCTTAATCCAGGAATGGCATTGTGACATTCTTGTCCTTTCAGATCAATAGTTTTTGATGGAGCACTGTTAGAATTTGTACTAGCTGTGGTCCCTCGCACTTTGTCAGCCCAAGATTGCACTGGTACTAAATTTCCTGACTGATTAAGTGACTGACTTAATGGCGGAACAGATTGTGAACTGAAGTCTAACGAGCGGACGGGACTGGTTGAGTTTCTCTCAAGTGATGTCTGTAAAGCATTGGCACTAGAAAACAGTGTCTTCCCTGGGGAAGATTTTCTCACTTCCCATGCCAGAGATGTTGGCCTGAAAAGAAAGAGAAGAAGGTATTTACAGTCTTAATGCATAATTTATCACAGCTACAGTGATGTACTTCTGAGGTCAATACACTATTGTCAGATTTTCAGTGTTGTGGGTTATGGCACAAAGCCCATTTGATCAAACATAGATACATGTAATGCTTATCTGAAATTAATTCATAGAAAAGCTACACTGACTGCAAACAAGGTCATATAAGTTAAAAGTTACCAATAACAGCCAGCTACAGTGAGATTAAACTGCATGGAATACTACAAAGTACAGTATACTACTTACCCTGGTGATGAAAACAAATACTTCACATGTATACATAACATGTAAATGACATTCATGTGTATACATGTTATCACAGGTTACGCCCAAAATACATATTTGAAATGTTTTTTAACTTAATCAACATAATTATATTTTTTTCTTAGAACCATATGAGCAGCCTTGATTTTAAATAATACCTCACAAATAAATCTAAAATTTCCAGTGTACATGTAATGTAATCATACCTGTCCTTGTAATCAGCTTTTTCAAATGCATCCTGCACATTTATTCTTTCGATCAAAGCACTGAAGTCTCGACGACACTGATCCAGCATCATAATTACCTCCTGTTTGAGAACAAGATAAAATGGTGTGAAGACAATGAATGAAGAAAAAGGAAAACAGAATTGTGATTACAGTAACTACATGTACAACTAGGAAATTGTCTGCCATTTGCATCCCAAAAAGGATACACTACACACCCACATCCACTTAATAATAACTACATGTACTTATTATCCTAGAGTGAAGTCTCTACGGGAAAATCTCAAACCAAGACATTGCCGTACTGACCAAATGATAGTGAGGTCAATATCACAAGGCTGAGGTTTGAGATTTTCCCATAAAGACCCAACCTTTGAGATTAATAAGTTGTTTATCATATGGCTTTTTGCTTTGTTCTTGCTGGCCTGTAATCAGCCTGTGGGCATTACGGGAGAATAACGACCTAGAATTAGCCAATCAGAGTGTACATTATAATGGCTATGAACACAAGCCATATAACTTAGAATTACATACATGTATGGGGCAATGTGACCAAAAGGCTACCATAAGTATTTCTTGGCTAAAGTTTTAACTGACAAAGATTCAGCCCAAAAGTGAATATTGCCAACTGCGTCAAACAAAGCCTGCCAATAAAAGATACATGAAATATCTATTGCACCATTACCTGGCATTCTATAATGCTCTTGTGAGCCTCACAAGTTTCATACATGAAATATCTTTATTGTACCATTACCTGACATTCTACAATGCTCTCGTCAGCCTCACAAGTGCCATAAATTTCATCCACAGCCCTTTTCAGGTTATCAAACAAGTAACTCCAGTAACGAGCTCTCAAGTCATTTTTCTTTCCTGAGAAAGAGCCGGACAATTTCCTGCTCCCTGAGCGAGATCTTCCGGGAGATTTAGCTCCTCCTTTCTGTGCAGGAGAAGCCTCCCTCTCAGATGAGCCGGATTTTTCTGGTGTAGAGGTACGTTTTCTATTCACCATCCTTGGTTTAGACCTCTTTCCTTTTCCTGGTTTATGGACACAAAGAGATGAGAGTACAGTTATATAATTATGTTGCTTTCTTGTAGGGTGCATGTACACAGATCTTAGCTTTACAATCACAGTCAAAATGCTTAAGACAGAATTCCCAAAAATTCGCAATTTTCTTACTAACAAATCAAAACCTACATGTATTTATTCCGCTTTTATTAATCAATACA